GGCTCATCCAAAACAAAAAAGAAATAGTAAAAAATACAAGTGTGTAGGTACTACTTACTGCAGAAAAAGGCCTTTAAAAAGGCCTTTTTACTCCTTATTTCTGCTACTGGGTAGTTAATGGTGTAGAACTGCATGTGTATTATATTAGATTACCATATAATCAGATAAAACACTTTGCGAATGTAGTAAACAAATGCTTAAAACTTCAAGCTAAAGAGTGCTGCTATTTGTAGCTACTGCGTAGGTGCTGCGCAGTGGCCTAAAATCGATATCCTTGACAGTCTTATTCGATGTTTTTGAAGAAGTCATGTGCCAAAGGGATCGAAAGCAGTTGTCATTGGAGAATTGGAGAAGTTTAGTAATGACAGTTTATAGAAATTTTTTTATAGAGCCTTTGTCTTGCAAACTCATTGCAAGGTGCACGAAATGCGCAGATTGTGCAAGTTTGCTCTTAACAATAACAAAATATACGCACAAAGTTTCTTGCAATTGCTTGCAATCTTGCTATACCTAAACCCATGTATATATGCTTGCAACGAAACAAAAAAGAAGAAAACAGCTGTTTTGACATGTGGTATGCTGCAAAAACAGCTGTTTCATTTTGATTTTGCAATTCTGCAATAAAGATGTTCTCGCACTGTTGCAATTTCAGTATAGCATTTATGTATTTCACGAACTTTTCAACACAGAGGGAATACCCCTTATATGCTTATCAAAATAATAACGTTTGATTGAAGTGTAAAAGTCAAAACACACTGTTAGCCCTTCTGCTTTTTATTTCGCACTATAGTCCACTGTGAACCTTTGTCTCCACTGTTAGTTATTAATAATAATAATTAATTTTTATTTTTTTTAAAAATTTGATTTTATTAAATTTAATTTTTTGTTTTATGTAATTTGCTATTCCTCTTCGTTTTCTTTTTTTTTTGTTTCACACTTTTCCGATTGCTCAGTTACGCAAAATATTAATTTTTTCATCAAATTTGTGAGAGCGCGTAAAAAAGTCGGACGGAGTGAGGGATATAACTGTGGAATATTCAACATTTTATTTTTGATTTTACAAAAAATCAAAAAAACAGTCTTGAACAGCAGTCATCAATATGTTCTTGTACTGTAATAAATTAATACCAACTTGAACGGGCTATATGATTTTTACTGCTTTCCTAAAGTACTTGTTTTCGTTTCGAATTGATGATCTTTGGTTCTGCTATTCTGCTATATAGAGCTGTCAGTCAACCTAAAAATAAAAATAATATGCTGGCAGTGCTGACAACTACAACGAAAATAACAAAACAAATAGTTTTCTGAATCTAGTTACGTGTTATTATTTATAATACAAAAATTGTATTCAAAATCGAAAGAAAAGAAACTAAATTCTAAAATCCACATGACAAATTAAGGACACATTTTTCACTATACTGCACAGAAGGGCAGCATCCGACACCAATAGTTTTGACATACCATTGAGAGCAACGTGTACTAAAAAATAAAATTAAGTTTTCGAAACAAGTCGTCGTCAGCAAATTTTCTTTATAAGCCTGAAAGATAGAATATTTATAGCAATGGCTGATGTTAAAGTAGAGGTCTCCGGAGACATGAATGTTCCGAAACAACAGCAAAAATCACAGTTCGATTTTAGAAGGTGAATTTGAATTAAATTACTTTGTTATAAATTATTTTAAGGATTGTTTCTGTTACAGCTTCACACAATTGCAAAGAATACCAAGTCCCATGGAACTTATTCAATTAGCTAGAAAGTACATTCGGCCTTGGTCAGAGTTTCTAAATACTGGGAACTTTAAGCCAGCTGTTAGTATGCCACGACTAACAAGCAGATATATCAGAAATCTCAAGTACTTTCAAAGCAATTATATTTTCGTCTTTATTGTGCTAATGATTTATTGCCTGTAAGTGCAGTGTGCAGTGCAACCTTTAAATAAACTATCTAATTCTACAATTTTGTTTTGTTCTACAGTATTACGTCTCCGTTAATTCTAATTGTGTTGGGTGCTGTTGCGTATGCAAGTCACAGAATTAAAAAGGCACAATCACCTGTGACAATATTTGGGTACCAACTTAGTACAAGCCATCAAATTATGGCAGTCAACGCCGCTTCAGTTCCAATACTATTTTTGGTTGGAGCTGGTGCAGCATTATTTTGGGCTTTAGGTAATATATCAAATAATATCAATAATATGCAGTTCAATTTAATATAACTTACTTTTATTTTAGGTGCTTCCATCTGTGCTGTATCCTTACATGCAGTATTTTATAATATTGATGCCATTGTTACTGAAGAATCTGAAGGATTTTTGTCCGAAGTTGTGTAAAATTTATCATATTATTTGAAATAATATTTTTTTGCCAAATATGGGGCCTTAATGTACATATAATTAACATATTTTCAATTAGTTTCTTTCAACTTTTTTAAAAAATACACGATACTAATTATTTGTTACTACTCTTACATTATAGTAATTTATTCAAATAAAGAGAATATTCTCGAATTTTTCACAAATAATTAGGGATTTTAATTCATTATATAAAGTTAATAACTTGGTAAGTTAATATGTTAGACTGCGAAACACAAATATAAGAAATTTGTATTACATTTTGTTTTTATTAAATAGAGGAATTATACAAAATTTCATAGCTGGTTGCTTAAAACTAAACTAATGCAGCAAAATAGATATTATAAAATAACTTTAAATACATTTTAAATATTTTATACTGACTAAAAAATAAAAAAATCATTTTGTGAAAGTGTTCAGTTCGTGTTAAATTTATTTGCATTTCAGACTAACCAAAAAAATTTAAATACACTGCTTAACTTAAAAAGAACTATATTTGATCTATGATAACGCTGCTCCAGAAGATTGTTTTGATACGCGTTGTGAGTAAATGCGTCTTAACAAGCGATTACCACTCAGGAATGTTACAATAGCAATAGGTATAAGCAACCGCAAAGTTTGGAACATATTAAGTTTCCACCAGAAAACAGCAAAAAGTGTTAAAATGCTACCGAAACCCAAATGGAATCCAATTGTGCTAGGCGCTAAGTTAAAGTTAGATATATTTATACCCAATTTGCCCCACAAAATAAATAATAAGACCAGAGGTGTTAAACATAAGCCTGTAAATATATCAGATACAAATCTTGGTGGCCGTTTTTCTGGTACTCGAAACTGGTGAATAATTTCAGGAAGGGCAGTACGAATTGCTTGTTTCTTTGCATCTAAACATAAATAGTAATGAATATCGTTTTTTTTAAATTAATAATTAAAAACTACCTTTATGATCTTGTTGGAACTGCAAGTCAATATTAGCTATGTGCCATTGTAATGAATTGGAAAGAAAAGCATCTCCAATAATCAAAGAAATTTCATACTCTCCAGATTTAAAATTAAAGTCTCCAGCCCGTGTTCCAATATCAATATCAACTTTGTAAGCCCTGCTGCTATCTTGATCAGCTATAAAAATAACCTCTTCTCCAGTAATTTTATTTAATAAACGTACAAAAGATTGATGAACAGTCAGTGGCTATTTTGTATTTTACATATTAGATATAATAAATAGAGTATATTTATTTTAAAATTTACCTTATTTGTGTCGTCATCGATAATTATTGCCTTTAGTGAAAACTTCTGAGTTGCATCAGCAGATAATTTTTCTGATAATGTATTTGGATAATTGGCATTATATTTTTTAATAGTAGAAACAGCTGAAGTTTCTGCAACACTTATTTCTAGAGATTCAACCTTAGCTCGACCTAAAATCTTGAATGTGTACTGCTGTGTATATGTGTTTTCAGCAGTTATGTCAATAGTATAAATACCACGAACTGGTTTATAACGTAAAAGGTTTGCAGAAAATATAGTTTTATCTGAGGACTTCGCTACAAACTCAACTTTTTCGGCAAGCAAACTTCTATCTTTTTTTAACATAACTTTTCCATATATATTTTTAGGTACAGGTGAAACTGGTTTACCCAATAAGTCTACCACAGCAATACTCAATTCAGGAGAATTGGATGGCAATTGTTTATTTCCAAATATTTTTATGCATAGTGGTGTAATGTCTTTCACACTGTTCAATGATTTTAAAGCTTCAATTAATACATGCGCGCCTTTAGGAGTTTGTACCGATCGTCGGCTAAGGAAATAATTTGCAAACTTTTCTGCTTGCAACGCACTCATGGGTATTGGTTTGTTGTTAACTTTATCTACTGAAATCGCACCATTAATAACTAATGCAGTTATACTTAAACCACCCTCAAACTGCAACATTTTACCATCAACCTCATCTGCTTGTGCAATAGCATCTTCGACACGTTTTGCAACAAAAGAAGCCGCTTCACCCATCTCAGCTGCTAAATTAAAAGAATAACCCAAATTTATTAATGTGTCCTCTTTTTTCAACACCTCTTGCAGTTTTAGAGCTATTTTTTTAATAGCGTCTTCATCCACTTGAACTCCTAATAATTTGTGAGAGATGAATCTAAAATAAACTTCCTGAATTGTTCCCACATCATTTTTAAATGCAGCGTAGACTTTTGACAAAATAGATTCTGGTATTTTTTCTGCACAATGTAGGTTCTTATTGGCGGCAATTAAATAAAAGTCTTTTTCGAAGTTCTTAAATTAAAACAAATTTTTATTTATTTATAAGAAATTTTTTATACCATTTACTTACATTTAACTTTGAATCTGTATGTGCTTCTACTATTTTTTTACATAGTAACTCCTTTTCTTTAGGATTTGTAACTTCAATATTTAGAGTCGAGTAATATATCGATTGCAAATCATTACTTTGTAAGCCATCAGCGAACACTTTTTGCAGGCGATTTAAATCATTATTATCTAGATAGGTACTAACAGTTCTCGTAGCTAGAATTGCTGACAATCCCGTTAATATGTAAAAAATCGCAAAAACTGTAGGAAAACAAAACATTAAGAAAACATATTTGGAACAAGAACACTAAATGCAAAGGTAATAAATCTATATTCACACTATGTTTCACAAAGAATGCTCATACGAAACCGGCGTATTTAACCTCTGGTATAAATGCCGGGGATAATTGTTTTCAAAAATTCATATATACAACACAAGTGCATATACCATTTAGTAAATCCAATACCTAATTTTTTCATGTTAAGATAGTTTCTGCCGCAGAATAAGCGTTTGTTAAAACAAAATCGAATAAAAATTCTGCTACGCCTGTTTGGACAAATTTTTACACACGGTAAGTTTAAGTGACAGACACGTCAGCGGCTATGTTTATTGTAAATATTAAGCATTTTTATCAGTGTTGCATTTTCTGTTCCATTAAATTCTGATTAGATATCGTAAAAAACATAAAAAACTTAGTAGCAGAGTATTTATATGAATTAATACTACATTTACTTTGCGAGATTAAGTTAATCTGCATTTTTAATCTCCATCGTTTACATTATGTATTGGAGATTAATTTTGACGTTCCTCTTGTTGTGTTTTGGTCCTTGTGTTTGATAAATTTCTTTAAATAAAGCATATAATCACAATTTTGTATGAAAAAATTGTAATATATGTTTAATATATAGTTTCATAACAATAATTTAACAAATTTATATAGTATTATGTATAAAACTATTATTAAACAAATTTAATAGAAATTTCACTACATTCGGAATTTTCAAATGCTTATTTTAAAGAAATTTTGACATATATCTTTAAGATCGCAAAAAATCTACGACATTAGGACATATCTTCTAAGATCGTAAAAAAATCTACGATATTAAGCCATTTGCAGAGTTGCACTGAGAAATACTTATCATTTTGAAGAAGATTTAAAACTAATCGCGACGAAAAGAAGATTAACTTTTGTATAGGAAATCTGAAATTAACAACGAGGTTAGTGCTATAATCTTGATTTTTGCTTTAATCTACTTTTAATCACATAATGTAAACACCATATAAGACTGTGTGCGAGTTCGAGTAAATTGAGGTACAGTAAATTGAAATTTCCTAGGAATTTTTTGCACTGCATTTATGTAAAAATTTATTTATTGTACTTATTTATTATTTTTGTTTAAAAGTTTTCAAATTTATTTATTAAACATCTTATAAAATTTTCACAATGGTGAAACCTAATTTACCTTATTTGTATGTGATTTATTCTACTCGAAATTTTGGTAAATACCAACATACGCTGCCATACCGACATAATTTACTATTTATATATTTTTCGCAAATACATATTTCGAATCAAATCATCCCAGTAGAGAAAGTGGTTTCTGATGACATTGTCTTCGTGACAGTCTTTGAAACTGCGTCCCCATATTTAAGCAAATTTGCAAAACAATTGCTCATAACATAAATATAAATAGCCTCTCTTTTGCTTACTCTCTCATTTGTAGTGTTCACAGCAACCTATGTCGCTGTGAATAAGGATTTTGTAAGGTAAAATTTTCTATTAAATTCACATTTTTTAATTTTATTTAATTATATATACGTCTATTTACTTTATATTTTATACATTATATTTAATAATATAGAAATAAATATAAATAAAATAATATAGAAAATTAATAAGAAAAAATAATTACATATAAATTTCGTTCCAGTCATTTAAAGAGAAACAAAATTAACAATTAATCCATTAATCCATGTATTCATATCGAACACGTCTTCGATGACGGATCGATCCGTTTCCTACTGGGTTTATCTTGCTACTCTGGCAACATATCTAGTGTAATAAATTAAAGTCGAGTGTTATAAATTTTGCTCCAAATTTATTAATCAAAAATGAAAATTGCACTAAAAGTGCATTAAAAAAGCATATCGATTGAAAAAATTACATTATTTTTAATATATTTTATTCTTTCATTTATGACCAAAATATTATAATAATTTTTTAACGGGCTAATTGGTCAATTTAAATAGAAATTAAAAAACTATTATTTATTATTTATATATAAAAAGAGTTTATATTTTATTGAAATATTGGAAATATATTGTTATTTAATTATTATTTAATAATTATTTATTGAGAACATTTTTGAAGTCATGACTTTAGTAATAGATTTTAGTATGTAAAAAATATACCTATAATATATGTAAATATAATATATATTTAAGTATTTAAGTCTATAAGTATTTAAAATATTATTTAACAAATTATAATTAAACTTAGCGGTCAACAAAAAATTATAATATTAAATATATTGTTTACTTCAATGATTAGTTCGATGAAATAATTTCAGGTGTATTATCTTCTACAAGCAATGTAACATCTTTGGGCTTCAAGACGCAGTAATAAACTATTAAAGTGACCATGAATAAAATTCCACTGACAACGATGCTATTAAAAATAAATCCAAACCACCATGATTCCAAGTCCTCTTTTGTGTACCAAATTACAGTCATAACAATGTTTTCGATCATTGTTAACACAAAGTAACCGACGAACCATAGCCGTATTTTCGTGAATCTAATTCGAACTTCTAATAATACGAAAATGTATATATAAGCTAAAAGCAAATAGAAGAGCCGGCGGTTTGTATTACTTTGCTTTCTGGTTTCTAAGTACAATGCTGCTAACATGATTACATAGTGAACACTTATTATTATAAAAAAAGGCGTTGGATAAAATACAAGAAATGTTGATAAGCATAGCATTCGCATAATAATAAATGAGATCCAACCGAAGAAAGCAATAGTCTTACTCGCAAAATCTTCTTGTACTATGCCGTTAACAATCTTTGTTGGGCGAGGAAGAAAAAAGTCTACTACGTCTTTCGGGGTTAGAGGTGACCCTGGAAGAGAAGATTTCGTTGGTGTTAAAAGTTGAGTTTTTTCCTCATTATTTTGATGATCATTATCAATGCGATTAATAAGAATTTTTGGCGGTCGTGGTACATGGTCCTTTATATACAGTTGTGTGTTTATAATTAGCATATCCTTAAATGTTTCTAGTTGTGATAATGTTTTTGAGTTACGTTTATTTCTCGATGTTGAAGTTGATGTTGCTTCGGAATTTGTTGATACTTGTGTGCGTAACAGTGTTGGATTTGAATTAGGACTTTTTTTCGGAGGCAATGGTGCTGGAATATCTGGCACAGTGTCTAATATTTCAATAGCATCTAAATCATGTATTTCTTCACGTATACGATGTAGACGTAATTTTGGACTTATCATGATCTTGTCATCATCTGTGGCATTATTTGTAGATGGACATAATGAATTTGTATGTATTAGCACCGTCTCTTTCGTTGTTTCAACGGCGTCATTGTCTACTTCATCTACTCCTTGAACCAAAATTTCGTGTGTTTTTTCATCAGATACATTGCTAGTACTTGTTTGTTCTGTTCGCATTTTAAAATTAGCCATTATTTTATCAGATTCCGGAAAACTCGCTATAGTACGTTCAGATTCTCTTTTCTTTTTTTCACACTCTAATAGTAAGCGGTCATTGGTGGCTAAAATTTCTTGTTGAGCTTCGACCTGCTTAGGGGCAGCCCAAGGATAGATACGTCCAACTTGTCGTTGACTTTCGAATCTTTGGTACGACATGGTTATATCTGCTAAATTAATAACAGAAAACACTAGACAAATGGCTTGAGCATTTGCTAAAAATAAAATTAAAATTGATATATCAATATGCATTATTATTATTACTATACATTATATTATATATAAACTATATATAATTATTATTGTTTTTTGTTTGCGTTAAATTAAAATGTTTTTGAGTTTTTGCTGAAAAAGTGGTTAGTCTTCAATATTAACATATGTGTTCAGGATTATTAATTTGTTGTAGGTAAATCAGTTTTATATTAAATTCATAATTAATTTATTGATAATAATTTCAATTGAACTTACTAGTTTGATAGTTTCGAAATAAATCCTGCGTCAAAATATGATAGAGCTGGAGAATTATTTGAGGTGCTGATTGAGCATACGCTTGTATCATCAACTGTAATTCACAGGTGGAGCACTCCTCAGTTTTTTTTATGCACATCATACGCTCATTGTCGTTGTCATCATGGAAAAGCGCTTCAACGGACCAAAATATTCGAATCATAAACCTTATAAAAACTTATAAAGTTGTAACTCATTAAATGACTTGAAAATATTTGTAAAACTTTTCACTAATACTTGTACATTACGTACCTGTAGATTATTAACAGTGGAAATAACAGCAGTTGTATTAACTGGTGAATCACAAAACTTAGACCATTTTTATACTTTGGGTTATTTCGATGCTCTGTGGAGCTCACAACAGAGCAAAACGTTAGAAGAGGTGGCATTAAAACAAGTACTAAAGTACCCCAACCAAATGCAGGTTGATTTGATTCAAAATGTTCATAACTGACCGAGCAATCGGCGACGATTTGGGTAATATAAACAATTAATTCGAGTACAGCAGGTATTAGGTAAGAAATATATATGCGCGTACGACTCCGGATCACGTAACCGAGTATATGGTTGGGAGGTGCGTGGTGTTGAGCCTCCATTTAGCATTATTTATCTATCATATATATTAATATAAATAAATTTGACTAGTGACTCTTAATTTTTGATAACTTTACTTTGCGAAATACTTTTTGTAACTAATACGTCTTACTGATAAAATCATGAGTAAGAGCCCCTTTATTTCAGTTTCACTATCTTATTACACCATTCGGCATATGATAAGATTATTTGTGTTTTATTGTTTGGAGTTCTGGTTTGTTTATATTTTGCAAAAAAATATAGAGCTTTTAAATTATTCACCAAAAAGTACTGTGTTCGTTAATTATGTATAAAAATATGATTTTTAACAAAACTTATGATTTCACTTTATCAATATTTTACTTTCCACTAGCTTTCATTGCTTACAAGTTTTTGAGTATATTAACACAAATTAGTAAAATTTACTCATTTTTTACTTTAACTTTGCTATAAATACGTACAGGAACATATCTGTTATATTCTAAACAGGATTAGAATGGATGACAAAAGTTTAATTATTTACTCTTGCAATTAAACCACAATAATTATGATATTTAAATGACAGTATGAGAAGTATCACAGTTGAAGCTTTAGATTGTAAGTTTTATAAAAATGCTAGACTAGATAAAAGATATATATTTTATTTATAAAGATTATTTGTCATCTTGACAATTTATCAAGAAAAGACCTTGACAACTTGACAAATTGTCAATTTTGACAAATAAGTAAGATAGTGAATAATTGTCAATACTTGACCAATTGGTCAAGTTCGAAGAATAGGACCGAAAATATGTATGTAGTTCTATTCTCCTAGGTGGATTATAGAGCCTATATTATCAGCTTAAATCGAAATCCGTTATGGGATTAGGCAACAATGTCGTTCCATCAATAATTTGAATTTCTTAATTCGTGCCCCACATTTATAGTCTAAGCAATATCCTTGAACTTTGGGAGTTCCACTTTAGTACTTCTTGAACACTTTTTCTTTTTTTGATTTTTGGTCTTCTGAGAGTATGTCTTATTCAACTCCATTTCTGGTTTTGAACCAACACTTCAATGTGGTATAATTTGTAAGGCCGACAGATGCGCAAGATTCTTCGTCAACTTTGGTCTATACTAGTGTTAATTTTTAATTAGATTGCAGTGGTAGTCATCCATTTTTCACTTCTATGAAATAAATTTGCTATTTTGTTAGTATTGAAAATGCTAAGTTTTCTAGATGTGGATATGCGGCTGTAGTTTCATATATTTTAAATGATTGATTCTGGTAAAATTGTCTCCCTTACGTCCGTTTTTATTTTTTATGATGCTACATAGATATGTTATTGATTACATATTTATAGAGAGGTTTCAAAAAGTTGGGAACTACAACAAAAATTCTTTTTGTATTATTTTAATTAATTGAATTTTTGGCTGACCATATAACTATTTCCAGTATTGCCAAAATCTCATCATCAGTGGTCTTGGAATTACTTCTTATATAAATAACGTAAATAAATTTTTAAGACTACACGTAGCAAGGGTTAAACTCGTGGCCTACAAATTTGAAGGTCAGAGTCTACATTCATTAGCCAACTGACCCAAAGCTATACTTGGAGTTTTTTGTTAATTTGATGTAAAAGTTCATTAACAAATTCACTTGCTTTGTTGTATTCGAACGAAAACATAAATCAGCTGTAGAATAATTGAATTAATTAAATATATTTTTATGTTTAATTGTTGAATTTCATCACTATTCTTTTTAAACGTTGCATTTGAGAAAATAGTACTACTGTACTAGTACAGTGTAGTACTGTACTAGTACTGTAATAGTACTACATATTGACGTTAAGATCAACTTTAATTACATATTAATAGTAATATATATGCTTATGTATGTATATTGGAATATATGTAAATACTATATATACATTATTTATTATTTTACAGCAAAACAAAATATAAAATATATGCTAGAAAGGATTTGAATCTACAAACGAAGAAAATCGTCTAAGAGGACGTTTTTTTTATTTTATCTTGGTTTAGGGTGTATGAGAACATTTTACAGGGAGAACCAGTTCGTTACGTTATATTTTGTGGATTGAAATTATATATTATGGCATTATTTACAGTTGTTTGAAATATTTTGTAAATATTCATTCACAATCTAGATAATGCCATTGCTTTATCATTTATTTTTAGCAAAGGTGTGGACAAATTTGGATACATTTATTGATGAAATGTCTGAATTTGATGTTAGAGGTTCGATTTACTGAAATTTTTAAAAGAATTTTTTAAATATCTAAAGTATTTGTCTATATAGGAAATTACTTGTAGTTACTTCTACAAAAGGAGTAGAGTAAACTACTAGGGTCAGAAATTTATAAAAGCAATGGGTTTCTAATGCACTTATACAGTTTTTTATTAAATTTGTATACAGCTTATGCAAAACTTGCATGTTCGATGACATCTAGAGTTTTTTCAATATGATACAATTTAAGTAAAATTTAATCCTCACAATGGCAACTGTCCTCTGATAATTGAGATAAGTCTTCAAGTGTCGTATAGTGTGACAATATTTTTAAAACTGGACGTAAATTTAGCCACCATTGGCTTTTCGGCATCCGTTTTCTGCAAAGAAAAGAAATTTTAGTAATTCTATTCTTAGTAGTATCTTTTTGTACAATATTGTTTATTTACTCAAAGTCAGCCTGGTCAAATAAGTCAACTAATGGCGTAAATTTATATCGCTCTGAAATCATTCCTATTAAGCTTGCTGATCTACAAGTATCACATTGATTTTCATTAGAGCAGTCAGCGTTTCCTTCCAATTGATCTACAAGCCATTGGTAACATTTAGATGCTATAACAGCAGCATAGTAACGATCAAATGGAGACGGTGATCCTCCTTCTTGATTATGACCTCAAATTTTTATTAAACTGTATTTTCAAATTTCATTCAAAATTAATTGTTAGATTCATACCTAGTACGTTCAAACGACAAGAAAAGTTATTTTTTCCTTCCTCTGAATATAATCGATGTATAAAGTCACTATTCAAATTAGTTGAACAGTTTTCGTTGCAAATGACAAGGCCTTTTTTCACTCCAGAATTCATTTTTAAAATCATGCGCTGAACATCTTCTTGAATATTAGAAACAGTGAAGTTTTCTTCGCTGATATAAGTCACATCAGAGCCAGAAGCAAGACCAGCCATTGTTGAAAGATAACCACAATATCCACCCCTTATTTCGATAACGAATACACGGTCTCTAGTTCCTTGTGCTGACTGACGAAGCTGATCGCATATTACAGTAATTTCGTTTAGACTTGTGTCACAACCAAGCGAATATTCTGTTCCGGGCACATTATTCGATATTGATACTGGTATAACGACCAACGGTATACACAATTCTGGATAAATATTTCGCTGTTCAATAAACTGTACTCCAGCTTCAAAGGCACGAAAACCCCCCATAAATACAAAACCATTTATTCTGAATTCTTTAATTTGTTTCACAATTTCTTCAAATTTTCCAGTAGGTAAAGTAGGTTTTATTCCTAGAAAAGCACCACCTTGGCTTGCTAATCCACTTACATCGGACCTAATAAAAACTTTTCGTATTTAAAAATATTAAATATATTATACCTATATGATACGTTAGTGCATCAATAGATTTTTATTTCTCTCTTGTTAAATAAATAAATAATAAAATGATGAGATTTCATGCTTTTACATCGTACAGTATGGTACAATGTAAAAAATGAAGGTGTACCTATGTAACATATATTTTCATGTACTATTATATTTATGTACCAATGTAGCTCTTTGATGTTTCCACTAATGAGACCATCAATTCCGTCATGGACACCTAAGGGAATATCACCATGATCAATACAAATTCGTACGAAGACATAAACTG